TTTACCGCCCGCACCCCCGTGCTACCCCCCCCCAGCGCTCTTGCACTTGTGCGCTGCCATTCAGAGCTTAAAATGACACCAAAACCAGGTTTGCAGGAGCTAGTTCATGTTTTACCCGTACAAAAGAGCGATTACTACCTCATCAAAACCTCCACCAGGCGAGCTCAAAAGGAGTCATCCTGGATCAACCCCTAGTCTCCCCTTGTCCGTGCAAATCAGTGCATCAAGGGTCCTGTAGTGCCTTCGGTGAGATGGTGCCTTCGTTGTGGTCCTGGTTTGGTCACTGCTTGCTGTAGGTGCAGGTTGTGAGACGACGTTTGCTGGTGAGTAATTCCGGATTCGAGACCGGAGAGCTCTGACAGGGGCAGTTCAAGCATCATCCTCAGCAAGGACCATGTCTCAGAAACCAGTCGCAGAAAAGGCTTTGCCAGCCCCAGCCTGCCTACACGATGCTCCAAGGGCACCTAGGTGTAAACCAGCCAACTTGTGCCTGTGGAATAAGTGCTTGGCAGCTCCTAGCTCCTCCCTTTGCTGTCTGTGCTGTACCTAGGCTACCTCAGTGGCAAGACAGCCCGAACCCAGCTGCGAGGTGCGGGATGCAGCCAGAAAGGAATGCACTAGTCTGGAAGCTGCTTGGAGTGGTTTTATCTTCTGTTCTCTTCCTGTTTGCTGGGGATTTGGTGGCACAAAAGGAGAAGATAACACTGCTTACCCCCCTAGAAGGTCACAGAGCTGCTGGAGGTAAATGCAGTGGTTTCCAGATTGTGGCAGTATCCATGTTCCACACGCAGCTGCAGAAACAGGCTTCCCAACTCTACACTTAATCCTTGCAGAGGCAGCAGCTTTGGTCCTTGCAGCCTCTCAAAACACTGTTCAGTCTCCCGCAGGGCAGGCAGGGGTGGTGAACAGCTACTGCTTGATAGTTAACCCTGGAACAGCCCTGTGACCCCAGCCCATCCCTCCCAGGTAGCTCCCAGCCCCAGATCCTACAAGACCTCATTTCAGAGGTCCGCACTACTGCTGGCAGATCCTACTAAGGACATCGTTACCATTGTCATCACACACAGCTTCCTCTATCTCAAAAGCACAAATATCTCTGTTATTGCTTGAGGGAGGGTAGGGGCACCCTCTCCTGCTGCCCAGGCAGGGTGACAGAGACACCCTATAGCACCAGTGATGCACAGTAAAGAGCTGAGCCTGGGTGGGTGAGCTGGCAGTAAAAACACCGGGTCTGCCAGGAGCTAAATGACAGGTCAGATGTACCAAAATCAAGTTTTTTTTGGCAAAGCTTATTTCATTTGGTCACCTATATCGAGGAGAGAGCCAGAAGATTAAGTAAAGGGACTTTGGACTGGAATCACCAGACCTCAGGATTATGGCACAGATTCAGGGTTTTTAAATCATCACTGTATTATTCAATATACACAGAGGCAGAAGCAATCCTGGGCAGGTGCCAGGTACCATCGAAAGCCTTTAAGAAAGTTATCACTGAAGCGACAGCACACAGCACCAATCTTCAGGATAATCCAGTTCTAAGATGTATCAATAAAACTGTGGGGTAGCAATCCCCCTTCTTAAAAGGATGTAAAATTGCAGCATTTAGAAAAAAAATCACTATATCCCATCATTGCTTTATGTACAAATCTTATTTGTTCTAAAGGATCTTATTAGAATGCCTTGAACTCCCGGCAACAGGCAGTTTTAAGCAGCAAAATAACTCCTCAGAGCAGCCAGGGACTGTCTTCATTCTTGCCTGCCAGGCGGTAGCGAAGAGGCCACGGCAAATACGGCGCCGCTCCGACGGGTGTTCCCGAATCCCAGGGCGGCTTTGGAGGGCGCGAGCCTTCGCCTCGCCGGCGCAGCGGGGCCCGGCGCCGTGCGGCAACGCGGCTCGGGTGGCTTTACCTTCCCGGGCGCTGCCCGGATCCAAAGCGGTTCTTCCCCGTCGCGGCAGCTCAGGCGTCGGCGGCGTCCCGGCTCGGCGCGCTGGGGTCGTGCAGGAGCGGGGTGGTCTCGGAGGACGGGGCGGGCGCGCTCTGCGTGCCGGGCGCGCGCAGGCTCTTCTCCGCGGCGGCTCTCTGAACAGAGAAGACAGCAGCAGCTATGCACGCAGCAGTTGTGGCATGAGGCAGAGCTCAGGGCTCCTACACGGCAACGCTTGGGGCCTGGTGAAGGCCCCGGATCCCCACCGTGACATCCTGCTCCCAGGCACATCATCAGCCCAGCTTGAGGCGGGCGCTGTTAGCAGGCTGGGACAGACCTTTCCATATAACCACTCGAGCAGCCACAAGGCATCCAGAAGTCACTCTGAAGCATAGATTTCTTTTTCCACTATCTCCAGTGTCTCTTGGAGCATGGCTACCCCTGAGCTCTGCAGCCCTTGTGCCAGTTCCCCAACACAGAACAAAGCCACCCAACTCTGGTGGGTCCAGAGACCCACCAGGAGGATGGCAGGGTACCATCATCGCATCCCTCACTGCACCCAAGACCTCTGTTGTTGTTTCTGTGTTCGAGAACTTTTGTCTGAAGGCTTCTTAAACAGAACATCTTCGCATCTCCACTCGCCAACAGAATGAAGTTATTGTCATGCCTGCCCACCAAAATCTAGAGCACCAACTAAACGCACACCCAGATATTTGATACATCAAAAAGCCCCCATGGAAAGTCTTTGTAATCAAGGTTTTAGATACTGAAGGAGAGTGAAGTCCAGGAGGCAGCTAGCTGTTAGCCCCAAGGGCTTTTGCTCTTTTTAACTTACCCCTGGATCTCACCATCACTTTGGAGAAAGGTGAGAAAACTGTTTCCTCACGTCAGCCCTATGTTTTACCCTGCTCCCTACTGATCTTATTATTAGGGCTGCAGATCAGGTGCACGGGAAGGAAGAAAAGCATCTTCTTGCAGTCTGGATAGCGGGAGCCCTGGATATTTGCCCTGGATAAAGCTAGGAGGCAACATTGTTATGTCAAACTTGCCGAGAGGACATGTCTGGAACAGGAAGCATTTTCGTTTGATTGGTTTCAAGCAAAGTTTAATCAAATTGGGATGAGAGAAAAGCGTGTTACCTTGGCTGGGTACCCACCTACAGTCTGGCTTCCCGCAACACCGGTCCCTTAACCGGAGGCAGCTTTTTGGCAGAGGTGGCCTCGTCGGCCTTATTAGTGTCTGAGTTCTTTTTATTGCTACTCCAAAATAAAGAGCATTTTTCCTAGAAGATAATCAGGCTATTTTATGGTGTACTTTGACATGAATTCCATGAGGGTTCCAATTTTAAGATGAGATTTTAAATAAAGTTTTAATCACTGTTTAACTACAATCTACTTATTAATTGAAGATTGCAATTTGGAGGATATACTAAGCTATCTTCTATTTAAGATTTTGGTCAGTGTTAAGCCAGTTTTAAAATGGTCCATTTGCAGTTTTAAATGAGTGTCACTATTCATGTTTTAGCCCATGAAGAGATAAGTCATGTTGTATTTGGGCACATTTTTTTCTAATACAGGAGATCCACACAGTTTAGAACTGTAGACTCAACAGATGCATTTTAAACTGGCTCCACTACAAACTAGACTAAAAATTTTAGTGTTTCACTTGGTCTGGATGGAGTTTAAGAGCACACTGCTCCCTCTGGAAGCCGGAGAGGCAGGCAAGAAATTCCAGGAAGAAATTTGGTTGAGTGGGACCTTTGCACTGGATGACATGTGACAGCGGTGGACAATGCCCTTGCTCAGTGTCCCCTGTGACGTCCTGTGGCTTCGAGAGGGAGGACTGTGCACGATTAAGCAATCATCACTAGATTAGCAATCTTCATTCAAATCAAGAACACACACTGGCTGCAGATCACTGTCTTCCAGTTTACAAGCTCTTCTCCAATTCATGTGTTGTTGAATAGATTCCTTAGAGATTTCTAAGATCATTAAGGCTTTTTAGCCACTTTCCAGGTAGCCAGGCACTTCCTGCAGTTGACTTTAGTTCCAGCAGTTCATGGTACTTTTGTAAGCAGTAGCAGGAGCTGCTGAGCCTCTAAACACCCACAGCTTTGCCTGGTCTTAGGATATTCCATAAGCATATATTCATTTGACTGAAAATTAAGAAACAGCTTTGCTTCCTGAGCTCTTTTGGCATGGTTTAGTTCTTTGATACTGGCAGTTAAGACTTGCATGAAACAAGATGAATCACTAGCCCGAAACAAGGGCTGCACAAGGTTCTGAAGAAACAACTGCCCCACGACTCCAAGTTTGTGTCAGATTTGCTGGCTCCAAACAGCACAATGTCGTGGTTTGCCAAGCACCACTTCAAAGGTACGTGCAGTTCCCAGCAGTCAAGGCCACCCCCATTCCTATGGGAATGCTTGTTCGTGCAGCCTGGCAGCGTGCTACAAGACTCAAGTGCCCAAGATGCAGACAGCAAGGAGCCACTTGTGCCCAGGATGTCTCTCGACCACCACAAGCAAGCTGCTTGCTCAAACGTCAAGCAAGGAGACTGAAGGAGGGAGTGATAACTGGAAGATGGCAAGTCAAGTTTCCTGCTCAAAAAAAAACTGGGAAACCTGAGCCATGTCCTTAGCTCCAGGGCTGGAGTTTGCTGGTGGGCAGCCCCTGCTCCCTGGCAAAGGTGGCCTTGCCAGTTCAAATGTTTGGAGAGGGCAGGCGACTGTCTGTTGAGGCAGCCCTACAAGCGCTAAGGCAAGACACTGCAAACTGGTTCCAAAGAAGCACTCTCTAAGAGCATCACCTTGGCCATGCAGGCAGGAGTCAGGTGCTTGCACGGGCAGCCTGTACCGCTCAATCCACTTTATTTGCCAGGCACTACCTGCACTGGTACAGTGGAGGGATGCAGTATGTCCTGATGGCCTGGAGCGCAGTGGAGAGCTCCGCGTGAGCTCTCGCCCAGGCACCGCTCCCACATTGTTACGGGGCAGGAGGAACAAAGAGACTTGGAATCATGCACTTAAGTCAATTATGCTGTTGCAGGCTCGGTTAAAATCCAGTTACATGACACTTGGAAAACCTTGGCAACCACTTAAAGCGAGGTTTGAATTACTATTGCTGCAGGGACAGTTAGAGGAAGCCCAATGACAACAGCCTCTTGCACGTGCTCCCACCTGAGCTCACTCCTGTCCCTAAGCATTGCCTTTTTATCCCCACAAATAGCCTCTTGAGCTCTTAACTTGAGAGCCAGCTCAGGTTATCTGACTCCCTGCTAAACTAAATAGGCTTGTTTTGATCAGTTAGGGGAGGGAGTTAGATCTCCACTTCAAGAGCTAAAGCTTACGGGAGCTTAGCATTATCAGATGAATGCTTTGGAGCCTGAGCCGCAGGTCTCCATCCAGCGTCTTAGTGTTTCATGCCCTGCCCTAGAGCCTCAGGCACAGGCAGGTCAGGTTCTCACTGTGCCAGGCATTGCCACTTCTCCCCTTCGTGGGCCAGCTGTGGGGCAGGCACCAGCTTCCCACAGCTTCGGAGAGCTTCACTTCTCATTAAGTCCAGATCCACTGAGGGTCCAACTTCCAGAGCTATTCAGCATAGTCTCACTTGCAGAGAAGCAAACTAATTTTTGGAAAAGATGAGGGTCCAGGCTGGCTTCAGACAGGGGCAGAGAACCCATTCCCTTTCTAGAAGATGGCAGCTACTACATTTCTCTTAAGAACAACCTGCATCTAGGTGCTATATGACACCAAAGGAGGAAGCTGCAGGGACCCTGTTCAGATTGGGAAGCCACTGGGACCCTGAAGAGGTATTTGGACTTGAGCAAACATCTGCTTTGTAACAAGACCAGACTGAAGAGCTTGTTCCTTCGTTAGCTGTATGAGTTGAGGAATGTTTTCTCCTATAGGAATGTGATTTGTCTCTATCATGTATTGAGATGGCCAGAAATGCTTTTGCATTATCTAGCTGCAGACAGGTTTCTAGATGGCTGAGGAAGTCCTGCTGGCACCTGGCAACGTTTGGACAAGCTTCACGACATCGGTTCAGGTTTCATCAGGAGTGTTAGATTGTCAGCCCAATCTAGGTCATCTGATTAAGTCTGATTTGAGTAACAGCATCTACCTTTAGCCATGGGCAGGTTCTTACCTTATTCCTCGCCATGAGTACAGCTGCTGTGATAATGAGAGGGATACTCAGCCCAAGGAAGATGTACTGCAGATAATCCAGCACGGATGGGAGCAGCACCAGGGTGGTGTAAAACTGATTTAAGACTGAGCCTTCGATGGATCCACTCTGCTCAAGAAAGCAAAGTGGTCAGTGGCATTTCCCTCCCACCAGTGCCAAGATAGACCTATTGGGTAACTCCCAGCAGGGATTAGGGAAATTCCTAAGCAGGATTCAGCCAGCCTAGAAGCTTTTACCAAATCATTGGAGTGCCCTGGCCGTGCACACAGCTGCAGAGGACTGGCACGCACCGTCCCGCATTAGCGAGGGCCACGGGCACAGACCCATTCCAGGTGCTGCTCGCCCCCCGTGCACCGAAGCAGAGGTGAACCAAGCACAGGGCAGGCTTTGCTCAGCTCAGAGGGATTAAGCATGCAGCCAGAGGGCTGCAAAACCCTCTGTAGGTCCCCTAAGTAGTCTGGCTGGCTTAAAGCTTTGTTCACAGCAGAGTTTGGGAAGTCATGTAAGAGCCCTGACAGCCCCACGAGCACAGCGGCTTAGGGTGAGGGACGTGGTCTCCCCGCTCCTGCACGAGACCTTCTGCAGGAGGAGGTAACGAAGCAGCAGGGTACAGCTCACCTCTGCAAACCACAACAGCGGCAGAACCACAGGCTTCATCTTCCCTGTTTGTCTGAGGGGGAGAAAGACACATTTTTGGTTAATCGTTTCGCAACTCCTGCCTTAGCTCTTACTACAGGGAAGGGTCTGATGGACTGAGAGTGGCCAGAAAAACAGGGCAAGGAGGCAACATCTCCTCCTGCTTCAGGGGGACCAGGTCTAACTAGGGCCTTTCATACAAGAACAGAGCTTGCATTTCTACATGTGTTTAACTGCCCGAGGGCAGCAGTAAGTCCTCGGGCCTGGAGGCCATCCCAAAGGGGGCTCCAGGTGTGTTCACTCAGTGAGCTGGAAAACTGAACTTGCAATGCCAAGGCATCTCCGTGCTTGGCAGCAAGGGCTGTGCAGCCAAGTTCACAGCACTAGGGCTGTTGTTGGTATACAGCCAGTCTATAACGCAGCAAGTTCACGCAGGTTCCCACTCCTGCAGGTATTTAGCACTTGGCATCACATAATGTTGTTGCCAAGCCCTTCCAAGGAGGTTCCCATTTGCTTTTGTGGCTAGTTGGAAGAGTCTTTTTGGAAGTAAAACTTCAGCTTTCACTTCTGCAAGCAGAGCGTGCCTAGCCTCTCTGTGTCAGGTCTAACAGCTTTGGAGCAGTTGCACAACAGACAAAAAGTCCTTGTGCCTCCCTGCTAGCAGTGGAGCAGCCAGCGCATCTGCATTGCTGCGACTGCCCCATCAGCACAGGGGACCTGGGAAGGCAACAAAAAGGGCAGCCACACAGCGTGCTGCTAAGGGAGGGCTGCTTGAGGTCACAGGAATAGCTGACATTTCAGCTCGTGACCCAGCTGGCTTCTGCAAGAGCAGAACCGTCGAGGTTAGAGCTGCCTCTCCTTCGGGTCAGCAAACTCTCCCGAGACCGCAGAGTTGGCAGCACTTCAAGCTCTAGGAAGACAGATGGTCAGTTCCAGAAGCTACTCACAAGATACCAGACACCTGCTTTATGTACAGGTTCAGCTGGAGCTTGATGGAGCAGTTCATGGGGATGCCCGTCATCTGCAAAGGGAGAGCACAACCTCGTCATCGGCGTGGCCAGAGTTTGTCTCTCGGCAGAAGAGCAGCCCCTGGCTTTTCACCAAACTCCCTTTGGGTGCAACTCCCCCAGAGCAGTCAGTGAGATCATGCAGAGAGCCCTGCTAATCTGCAAAAGCACCCAAGGACTTCAACAGACCTCGATGCTGCAGAGCAGCCCCTGCACAGCCTGCAGGTGCCCCAGGCACAGCGAAGGGCCCACAACACTTCCCATAACTATGACTAGACATCAACTGCTGTCACTGTCCAGCAACAGACTAAGATGGTGAAAACAAACTGCAAAGCTGGTCTTGCTGCCACCCATTTCTCATGACCCTGCAGTTATGCAACACATGTTTTTAAGGGCATAGTTTTTGTTGGATTGCCCTCTTTGCAGATTCATACTCAGCAGGCTGCAGCTAGATAAGGATAAAGTTAATTGTACTATTATCAAAAGTTGTTTGATACTGTAATAAACTTAATTAGATTTTCCTAGCTCTGATAAAAAAATAAATAAATAAAAAACAGAGAGTCCAATGCCTAGATAATGCACTTGCCTTACCTTAAGGGAGGGATTGTTTCCCTGCTTGAACCAACATGACTAAACCTTTGAAAGGTCTGCTCACAGGCAATATAAGACACAGGAAGAGCCCAAAAAGGAGCCCAAAAAGCCCTTGCCCACCAGCAGCTGGGACTGCAAAAGAACAGCTCAACTCCCAACTAGTCACCATCGGGGAGGTTCCTTCCCCCTTATGCTTAAATCATGCAAGAAGCACAGCATGAGTGGGCCCAGTGTAGACGCAGTCAGCCAGGAGGCCAAGCTGGGACAGTGGGAAAAGCTAGCCCAGGAACAGCTAGAGTGGTCTGTAGACTTGGTTGTTCAACTTGGTTGTCGTGACAGTACGAGCTTTCAGATCTTGGGCACCTAGATTGTCGGATCTAGGGTGCTGCTAGATGCACCTCTGGGCATTACGGGCAGTCCCTGCGTCAGTGGAAAGCATGCTTATCAAAACAATTACGCTCATAATTAGTTCTGCAATTCTCTATAAGCCAGATGAGCTATTTAATTAGTTTATGGCTTTGGCATTTTTATCTACACGTGTCCTTGCCAGTCTTTGCACTATGGAACCTGCACAAATCGGCACCACGAGAGCCGAGCGAGCCCACCGGGCAGCGGGTGGGAGATCCCAGCCCACGACAGGGACTCCTCTCCTCAGGACGTGGCCTCGGCCGCGCTCGCTCACCGGGTGCACGTCGAGGAAGAGCGCGTGCTGCTCCTTGCTGGGGTGCAGGCCCTCGACAGCGTCCACCAGGAAAGGGTCGGCGTTGTAGAAGTGCGGGTGGGAAATGAACATGGGTGCGTCTGGATGGGAGCAAAGCAATCTTCAAGTCAGCCAAGGCCATGGGAGAGCATTGCTGACATTTTTGGTCATGAAAGCACTGGTTCTGAACAGGCTTTAAGATAAGCTGTTCCTATCACTCTCCTCCCAGCAAGAAGGTTCCTTCCCATCCCTCCAGCAACTTATCCCAATGCTCCGGGAAGCCCAAGACCTGGGCTTAAAGATCCTGTCTCCCTCCCAAACACACCATTCAATGCAGCAGTCACTTGCTGTACCCAGACATGGGTCAGGACACTGATGTCCAGGTCCCCTCCTGCATAACCTGCACCAACATTTGAGTTCATTTTACACAGCCTGCCTTTCCCCACCCCAGCAAGTCTTGCTCGCCTGCCTGCTCCCTCCTTCCCCAATTTGGGTGAGGAGAGGCTCCCACAATAACCTTTGGTGCTCCAGAGGATGCAGGACTGTTGTTGGGCCACAAGCAGATGGGCTTTGGCCTCAAGGATTTTCCCACTTCCCTCCTCATCCCAAGGCTTGCAGGAACACAGATCAGAAACCAAACAGACCCCACAGTATTCTTCAGTGCCCCAGCTTTCTGGATAGAAGACTTCATATTCCTTCCCTGCAGCTAAAAAATGAGCATGGCAAGGCTAGGGCAGGGAAGAATTGACACATGGAGGGACCAGAGGAGGGAATGACATACTGTATCTGCAGGAGCTGACGTTCTGGATCCCGGACTGCAGGCAGGGGCAGAAGCCTTCGTTGGGTGGGTAGTCTGTGCCATTGGCAAAGAGTGTCTTTGGTGCCACAAAGCGATAGGTGGGCACTCCTTCAAACTCCCCAGACTGCTCGTACACCAGTTTCATAGACCTGAAAGTAATTCAGTGGAGAGGAATTAGGATTAGCCAATAGCAGAGAGGCTCCGAGAACAGAACTGGGTTATCTTAACTAGATAAGATCACAGTTTCAACGTAACTTAGACTTTGAGATCAAGATAAACACTCAGAGCAGCGCTTTGGATTGGGAATGAGCATTTAAGCCATTTGTTTTCCATGTTTTAAGCACAGATAAAGGGTTGGCCAGGACTAGAGAGACATGCAGATTTATGAAGCTGTTTGCAGAAACCAGGCGAGATTTGTTTAAGGGCATGTAACAATCCCTGCAGATGCTCTCCAGAGAGATAATACCTTCTTTGTGCAAGCGCTGGCTCCAAGGCAGAGGGGCTCTGTCACAGAACACTAGCTGAATCTCTGCTTTTGCAGCATGACTTCGGTACGGGGGCCACCACAGGAGTGGAAATGTTTACCTTAGGCACTATATCATGCAGACAGATTTTTCCTGGGTACAACAGACCCGTTTTGTGCTGCACCATTCAGAGCAGCAGGTCAGGGCAGTCTTCAGGAGGAAAGTTTCCCTCCTTTGCACCCAACCAAGCCTTGTTAAGATACAACTTGGTTAGACTGAGGAGGCTTGTGCCTATAGCTGCGTTCCAGCACCCAAACCCAGGGCATAGGAGTCAAAGTGCATCAGCAGTGACGGTCACGTTTCTCAGCTCTGGTGGCCTTCCAGTCTACCTTGAGGGGACAAACACACAGGTGCATCCCAGTTGATTGGTTGCATGTGATGTGCAAACTGTGAGGAAACCAGCCACCTCCAATGTCCCCACCAGAGATGGATGGGCTCTTACTCTACCTCAGGACAACCAAGCTCCTAAACAGGTTTGCTTTTTTAGACACCTTTTTTTCCCTCTCTCTCCTAAAAGAGGCTAGAGAGAAGGGTATATTATTATTCTTTTAGAGCTGATATTTGTGATTCCTCCCTAGCCAGCTGGGCCAGAAGAGATGCTGCGAGAGTGGCCCTGGGGACAGCCAGCAGCACTGATTTGTGAAGAGGGTGTCTGAGCTGCTTCCTCCATTGGACCTGCTTCCCCTACATCATGTCCTGCAGGAGCTTCTGCACTCTAGAGCCTCACCACAACTTCTTTCACTTCACTTTATGCCTTGCCAGAAAACACATTCTCAGTTCCCTTGAAGATTTCTCTAGTTTTACAGACAGGTTTATTTAACCTTTGATTACTCATAGAATTTCCTCTAAGTCCTTGGCTCCAGGTTGTTTGGGTGTTTGCAGATGCCACTTGCATAGCAATGCCTGCCTCAGCTGGCTTGGCTGCTTAGCTGGAAGGGGTCACTGTTCTCCATCCCACCCAAGCACTCTGCTTGTTTTGAGGCACTAAATGCAAAGCCTGAATTCACATTATCTCCACCAAGCAGGGAACAGGGCTTT